GTAAACTGTTCAGGGGAGTTTGTTATAAGAGTAAGCATGTCTTGCTAAAAGAACCGAGGAATTATATTTCAATTGTCTAATATGTATATTCTGGGTAATGCTGATGGATAAAACCAATTGGTACTTCTGTTTCCAGCCCAACATGTAAGGAGTTTGGAAGTTGCCACTTTTTCCTAAGAAGTCAAAAACTAAACAAACTAAAAAAATTAACAGCCATTGTTAAATCCATAAGAAAAATAAGGTTGCTGTATAAACTACTGCCCCTCCATATTGAAAGGACACACAAGCATATACAGGGAGACACACAACTTGGTAAAGCAGATATCTACCAGCAGATTCCTCTTTGGGAACCACTGTGGTGGTAGAAAAACATAAAATGTAATTGATAAATTTCTGTAGGCTCAGTATGGACCAATCTGAAAGATAAAAATTCCAGGGGAGGAGCCAGTTATATGGAGTCTCAAAATTTTAAAAATGTTATCTCTAGGAGCTTAACCATATTGCCACAATGAGTATTAGAGAAAAATCCTTTCATATTTCTGGAGAGACAGGTATTTTAAGTATTTTGAAATACAACAAACATTCTGTTCTTAAATATATCTTTATTCAGAAGAAACTATTTAAACAGAGCCTAATCTCTTGAAGTTTATTTGAACTTAACTGAATAGAGAGACAAGAAAACAATTTCATCTTACTTACTCTATAGACTTCAATCTGGGGGAAAGAAAATACTTAATTCTGACTGTCTATGACCATCTTGTTCCACTAAATGGGATGAAAGCCTGAGAAGCACTCACTAGAGACAGACGTCTTATCATAAAACTCTAATCACTTTCCACACAAAACTTTCCACGATCGCATTATAAAGGCTAGTTTATAATAGTTACTTTTAATCATTACATCATGGCTGACTAGGTAAAATTATAAGGTGCCGCAGTCTGGCTGTAATAATAAGGCATATTAAAAGGCAAATGGTACAGTCTGAAGAGATACAGCATACATCATAAATGGCTGGGATGCTAGAATTAACAGACTGAGAATTTAAAAACAACTATGATTCAGATGTTAAGAACTCTAATGAATAAAGTAAACAGCATGTATCTAAAGATCGTCAGTAGAAGAAAAGAAACGGATCTAAGAAAGAATAAAAAAGTACTAAAGTAAAAAAAAACAGTAATAAAAAAAATGGTTTTGATGGGATTATTAGTAGGCTAGACAGAGCTGAAAAAAAATCTCTGAGCTATAAGATAACTCAAAGGACAAAATCCTTCATCAATCTAGAATTCTCTGCTTTGGTAAATTACCCTTTCAAAAAAAGAAAACATAAAGACTCTGTCATACAAACAAAAATGCCAGTGTAAGTCCTTTGTAAAAAATGTAAGAAAAGTTATTTAGAAAAAAGGAAAATGATATCAGTCACAAATCAAATCCACATAAAGAAAGGAAGAGCATCAGAGAAGAAATAAGTTAATGTAAATTTAACTTTTTCCTTTTCATAATTGAACTGATACTAGTTAGAATATTGTATTTCATTAAGTTTATATTCATGTAATATATTTACATGTGAAATGAATGGTGACAATGATACAAAGGATGGAAGGAAAGAATGAAGAGTAACTTACTATTATATAGTATTTTTCTTCTACCCATGAGGCAGCTTAGTGTTATGTGAGAGTAGAGTTGTCTTATTTGTAAACTCTAGAGCAACAATTTAAAAAAGTAAAAACAAAAGAAGAAAAACAGGAGATACAATTAATATGCTCATAAATGAGAGAAAACAATTATATAAAATGATCAACTTGAACTATAAAAGATATAAATTTAATAAAAAACAAAAATAGCCACAAAGAGGAAGGGCAAGATACAGAAAAATGGTAGCAAATACAGTAGGTATTAATTCAACTGCATCAATTATCTGTTTAAACACCAGTGGTTGAAATAGATCATTAAAAGTGTAGTAGATAAAAATCAATAGCCAAATATACTAATGCACACTGTGTAATGATATTTCAATCAGTGGCAGACTATAAGATGGTAGTTCAATAAAATTATGTTAGAGCTGAAACATTCATATAACCTAGGGACACAATAACCTTCATAATGCCAGCACACAATGTATTATCATGTGCTGTTGTTGATCAAAAGGTTCTATGTTACTATCATCTAGATTTTTTAAATTTTTACCAACACCTGTTCTTTGCATTCCTATGCTTGTGTATGTGCCATGCCCAGACTAGAGCAACAATATCAAACTTGCTACTGATTAAAAGTGTTTATCATCATGAAAATCTCAGCTTTTGTGTTGAACCACAAGACACACCTTAAGCAATTTAAAATAGAAATCACAAAATATCTGCTCAGAGACCATAATGGAATTAAGCTATAGATCAATAAAAGAAAGATAGCTAAAAATACCTGTGTGCTTCAGTATTCAACATCATACTTCCAAATAAGTAAATAAATAAATAATTTAGAATTATTTTCATGAAAATGAATCACAGTTTATCACAATCTGTGAAATAGGTGAAAGTAATCACTAGAAAGAAATCTAGAGTATTGATTCACATATTAGAAAATTTAAAAAAATATATCTAAAATGAATTAATTAAATTTCAGCATAATGCGAAAGAAGAGCAAATTAATAGAGTAAGCAGAAGAAAACAAATCATAAATATTATAGCACAAATAAATGAATTTGAAAGATGAAATCACAGAAACAGTAAAACTGAAATGTAGTTCTTTGAAAAGATCAATAGAATTGCTGAGCTCCTACTTAGGGTAACTCAGTCAAAACAAGACAAAGATAGGACACAAATTTATATCAGAAATAAGCCAGAGAACATCCACAAAACAGCACACAATGATTGATAGGATAATGAAGAAATAGGTAAACAACTTGATTACTACATATGTATATCCTCAATTAAATACATAAATTCCTTATGAAAACAAAGAATAGAATATCTGAATTAACCTATATCTAGTGAATGTAATTTAAACTATAATTAATAATATTTATAAACAGAAAATTCCAGGCCCAAATGCTTTACAGTGAATTCTACAAAACACTTTAGGAAGAAATTGCATTAGTCCTCCACAGTCTGTCTTAGAAGCAAATAAAATACTTCCTAGCTGATTCAGTGAGGCCAGCGCTACCTAAATACTAGTCAGAAAATCATGGACACAGAATGTAGAACAAAATAAAATTTATACCTCATGGGAATGAGCTCTTTGGTAATCTTCATTATTGTGCTAGATTTTATTTACTTGAATCCCCTGGTCAGACAATGTTGTTAACATGCACTCATCACTTCCCACAGGCATTTGATTTTAAGAAGTGGAAAGTTTTTTAACAGTGTGTGCAGGCAAATATCTACAATCTCAGCTACTCAGGAAGCTAAGGCAGGAGGATCACAAGTTCAAGGCCAGCTTGTACAATTTAGTAAAACCCTGCGTCTTAATTAAAAAAAAAAAAAAGACTTCAGATACAGATGACTGGTAGATGGTTGCCTAGCATGTGTAAACACCCGGGTTTTATCCCCAACACTGAAAAAAAACAAAGTTTCTTTGTTACTAATATCTAGATTTTTAAAAAAATTTTCACCAACGCCTATTCTGCCTATGCTTTGCATTTCAATGCATGTGTATATGCCATGCCCAGACTAGAGCAACAATATCAAACCTGCCACCAATTTAACCTGTTTTATCATCATGATCTGTTGATCTTTGGGTCATTGTTGCTTTTCTGTTTGTTTTCTGTTTTGTTTGTAATCTACTATGGTTTTTAAGCATTCATTTCAATGTCATATGTCCATTATTACAGTATTAAAGAGATTATTTTAAGCTACCCTTAATGTTTCCTGTGATTTATATTTTCATTTCTTCCTTCCCTTGACCCCTGATAGCCACTGACCATTTTATTCGCCCTATATTCTACTTTTTCCAGAATGACATATAGTTGCTATGACATATTTACATAGCCTTTTCAAACTGGCTTAGGTTCCTTTAGCGATATGCATTTAAATTTCTTTTCTATCTTTCCATGCTTTTATAGTTAATTTATTTATACGATTAATATCCAAATATAGATGTTAATCAGTTTATTTGCTCATTAACTTATTAGGAGAATTTTTTGTTTTCAAATTTGGGTGATTATGAATACAGGTATGGATGTAAATTTTCAATTAACTGTATTATGTAACATCATAATTATTTGTGTAATAAGACTGTGTTTTACGTAGTTGAAATTCCCTATAAAATCACCAAATAACTTCCTTTTTGTCCTTTCTTTTGTTCATTTTTGAGGCAGTAAGTTTTCTAGTTTCCACCAATTATTAAAAATGCCACTCATTTTAAAAATACAATTAATATTTGAATAATAAAACACATCTTTCTCTATATATACATCATGTAATGATTATTTAAAAAATTATCATCTTGAAAAATATGAATATAATAAAAGTCATTGATCACATATTTAAAATCTTTCATGTAAACTAATAAAGACATATAAAAAATGAAGTGTATAATACATGTTTAATCTTCTGTATTTTAAAATATAAGCAATATTTCTGATGATATATTTAAAATGTTAATCAATATTTCTTAAACATTTAAAAATATTTTTATATTGGAAAATATGTTTGGGGGAGAAATGCTTCATGTTATAAATTTTATTTAAGAAATACATTTATTTCCAAAAGTTATTATGTAATAGATTTTAAAATATAAAATACTTCTGCAAAAACCTCCACAATTTTTGGGTGAATAGCGATTTGGACAAAAAGAAGTTTCTTGCAATTTATTCTGCATGAAAATATCTGATGAAATGAATTCAAATGGAAAAAAAAAATCTCACTGGTATTTTGACCCCAAACATTTTGGATATATTCAAAGAAGGTAGCATTAAGTAGAGGTTTTAAACTGTGTTCTACATTGCATCTATTTTTACATTCATATGTCAAGATCTTTTTCTTTTCCTCTCTCTCTTTTTTTTTCAGGAAAGATGGATCAAAAGAACCAATAGTGGAGATGAGAACAGAAGATGAAAGAATTACCAATCATGAAGATGGGAGCCCAGTAAATGAGCCAAATGAAACCACACCGCTAACAGAACCTGAGTATGTAGATGAAATAGTTACTTGTTTTCGAACAAATATTAGCAAAATGATGGGTCATTTGCATAATTTGTTATATGTATTTACACATATCATTGTTTATGAAAGAATTGTATTATTTCTTTGTAATGGAAGTGGTTGTGTGAATCAAAAGTTGATTTCCTCTTGAGATATTTTTCATGAAAACTTGGCCTCGTTGTCAGAGAAACTCCACTATTAAATCCCATCATTATAAGTTATAATTTGTAACCCTCATGTATTTATGTTTGCATCCTCATAGCTCCACTACAACTATAATAGATATTCTAATTAAACTTGCAAAGGTAAACAGCATGTGCATTTATTCATTCATATAACATTGAAATGATTAAAATCAGAGGCATTATTAAGGAATAGTAGTATTCTTTTGAATGCAGCTGCTGATAACAATAGCAAGATTATCATACTCTGCTACTCACAAAGCTGACTTTTAAATTTCATTATTTTTTCAAATTAGTATCTCTCTCTCTCTCTTTTTTTTTCTACCAGCTTCCATTCCCTTACAGTATAACCTGATGTGGCATTCTTATCTCCAATTATAGGCTTTTTTGTTTTCACAGCTGAAGAAACTGATTTTTCTCCCAGATATTCCCTCTGTTTGTTGCCTGCATGGTGGTGCAAACCTGTAACCCCAGTGACTCAGGAGGCTGAGGAAGGAAGATCACAAATTTGAGGCCAGCCTGGGCAATTTAGTGAGACTCTGTCTCAAAATGAATAAAAAGTTCTAAGGATGTATCTCAAGGTTAAAGCACCCCTAGGTCACATCCCAGTATGGAAAAAGAAAGATGAAGAGAGAAAGGAAGGAAGGAGGGAGGGAGGGAAAGAGAGAGAGAAGGGAAAGAAAGGGAAATAAAGGGAAGGGAAGGAATGGAAGTTTCTGCTGCCTGCTCTCAATGACCTATAGTAATATGTAGAAAACTAGAAAGTACTATTCTGTAGCTCATATTTCAGTATAAATGTTCAGGCCAATATTACTGATTGCATTTAGAGCTTATTACTTTCTCAATTGAAGCTAACTATTTGAGAGCCAGCTGTCATAAAGGAGGTTTTATAATCTCCCTTTCAGAAATCAGAAGTCTTTTTAATGAAGAAAAATATCACACACACTCACAGACACACACACAAACACACACACACACACTCACGAAACCCTATTAACACAAATTTATATTGATGTGTGCAGTCTTATTTAACAAAATGCCCTTACATGCAACTAGACTATAATTTAGCACACACTAGATCTTAATTAATAGAACAGAAATATTCAACATAAAAATAATATAATTAGCTGTAATCTTTTAAAAATATTTAATGTAAACCTATGAAGTAAAAAAAAATTATACAGAAATATACCACCCACCAATTAGTTGAATACATTTATTCACTAAAAAATAAATACAGACTTCTGTATGTAAAACAATATATTAAACATTATGGTAAATACCTACTAGAGCTCTAAATTTCTAAATATTTTTATGCCAGAAATGGCCTGTTTGCTTCACTATTTCATATTGTTCATGGTTTCATCACATTGAAAAGAGAGAAAAAAATAAATTGTGAATGCACTTTTAATAACATACATAAAAGAACATCCCACATTAAGTACAAAGTAGATGCTACCTCATTCCCAATAATAGATCTTAATTTTTTTGCCTATAACTTACCTTTGATTGATTATTTTTCACATGAAAGCTTTGGTTGTCATAAAGTAATTGTTTATCCTCCTTATTCAAAAATATAAAATAAATTACAAATACCAGCTAGCATAGAGGGTTAAATCTGCTATAAAATAATGGGGAATTAGAACAAGATTTGTAAACATATTTAATTCTCTCAATGTGGAAAGAAACATTTTGTCAAGGAAAGAAATTTTACCCCCAAAAATAGTCTTATGCAAAAGATGTAATAATAAACTAGTGAGTGCTAGAACAGTGGAAAAAAGGAAACCTTGAGTCAATATTACAGTAGCTTTATCAAAATTGCAAAGAATATCTGGATTGCAGTGACCCATGGGGCTTGCTTAGAATATGCATATGATCATAGGAACATTTGTGAAACTATCAATATTAATAGACAAAGGCTTTTATTGTTTTCTAGGTTATTATTAGAAACAACTCTCAAAAAATGGTATAAAAATGATAAGAAAAATGTAATAGTGAAAAGAGGCCAAAGAAACACATAATAAACACAAAAAGTTCTAAAATATGTTCATCTGCACTGAGTTACAAGTACTATTGCTGTTTCATACAGCAACTATTAACTGTTTAACTTGAAAAGTTTGACAGAGAATAAATCATGTACTTAATATATAAAAAAGCTTGTTTAAAATTTAAAACAGTTATATTTTAGTATCAAATAGTTATCAAATCTAAGCTATCCTATATTGAACAATTTCACTCATCTAAATCCATGTATGCATTTTTCCTACATCTTTTTTTGATACACATTACATTTTTTACAATAGACAATATTGTTTTATTCTTTATAGAACATTCACTTAAATGTTGACGAATATCTCTAACAATGCCTTAAAAATTATATTTATATTTCCTACCAGAAAATTACCATTAAAAGAAGAAAATGGGAAAGAAGTCCTAAATCCAGAAGCTATAGAAATTAAAGTTTCTAATGACATCATCCAATCAAAAGAAGATGACAGCAAAGCATAACAATATTACCGAGGCTTGATGCACACTACAAAAGAGCATTTGGATTGCAGTGACCCTATGACCAAAACTATTCCACTGACCTTAATTTCTTGGGAAAATTCTAGCTTGGAATAGCTTGTACACATATACATATGATCATATACTCCTGCCCATGGTCCATTCCTTTTCGTTGTTGTTGTCGTGATTGTTCTTTTTGTTAAGAATTTCAGTACAGAGACTTGATTGACACCAACTCTTGGGTTTCAATTGGATTATATGATTGAAATACTGCAATTAATCATATGGCTAAAGTGCTCTATTTCTTAAGAACTTTGTCTTATAACCAACAAACATATTTCAAACTCTCTAGCACATGAGGGTGTGATGAAAATCAAAAGAAAACAAAAGCTTTCTGATCTAAATGTACAAGAAAGCCCTGCATGTTTATGAAACTTATTTTGGGCCAATGGATTTATAAAGTGGCTTTCAGCTTAAGATGAAGGCACATAGTAGAGGTTACACTTTTTATCAGGGGAATTTCAGGGAACCCAGGCTTGAAGAAGCCAGTAATCTTTAGCAGATATTAAAAATCAAGGAATCTTTGGAGAACTCTTTCAACTAATGATTACAGTACATTTTCAACATTGATTTTGATAGATTGAAGTATCAGATCAAAATTGTTACCCACTTGAAAGAATCTTAGTTGTGTGCAAAATTAGATTAGAAAGACTCCCTGAATCTGTGTCTTTATATATGCCGTATTCATTCATATTGGATTACACAAAAAGTAAGTGTATTACAAGTAAAAATAATATTGATTTTTGCCCTCAGCTTCAAATAAAATAAATTGAAATGGGAACAATATAAATATGGTGTCTTTCTTAAAGTTTTTGGTCCTTCATTAAATGAAATTGGGTAATGGAAATTAAAGACAAACCTTAGTAGGAAGAGAAGTTACTTAACATTTAAATGTGCCATAAAGTGTCAGTGATCAACAATTGAATTGCCACTGTATTTTTATGCTGAATGTCATAGCTAGAATTCATTTTAAGATTTGGTAAACAATTTTGGTGGACAAAACTCCTGGATTATTCCACATAAACTTTCTAATATCACTTGGTAGGGCCTATACCAGAATAAAAATACAAATTAACTTCCAAGCTATGCAAGCTCCCAGAGGTAAAAGTCTAAAACATGATTTAACTTACATATAAGGAAAAATGTATTGCTATGAAGATATATAACCATTGGGAGCAGGTTTTAGATTATCTTTTAAGTTAACCAGCCAAAGTTGTTTGTTTTTTTTTTTTTCCCCATCACATTGGTTACCTTTGGTTTTTCAGGTATGGACTAAATAGCTCAAATATTGCCTGATATGAGAACATATTCCAATAGAACATTGGAGAAAATTTTAACAGTGCAGAGGGACCCACTTTAAGAATATCTCTTTTATAGAGATGATTTCATGAAAGATTAAATATAATATTAGTTCCACTCATGAATGTTTTTATTTACAAAGTGCTTTGAAACTGTCAACCAAGGAGAGACAAGTAAGTAATTTTATACTGTCCTTACTTTGCTGGCTGATAGCAGAATATGACCATCTGCATATTAAAGCATTGCTATAAAATGCGGGGTTTTTATGCAGGAATCTCTCCTTGCTACCCATTCTGGCATATTCAGAAGAAACAGAAATTATCCAGTGGTTATTGACAGATTGATGGTTGGTGTTTATGTTTGTCTGATCATTTGTTTTGTTTTATTTTTCTGTGTTTTATTTGTACCAATGTGCTAAAACTAGTCAAAATACTTGAATTAGTTTGTTTGTGTAAAGTGGCAAGCTTAGTAAAATGTTTATGAAGTAATAGCCATGAATGATGATTTGTCATGGATAGGGCCACTCAATTTTACACTAAGGATACTGAAAGAATTCCACGACAGAAAACAATTTCGCATGTTTACTATTGTTACGTTTGTGCTACACTGCAAGAACAGAGAAATCATAATCTAGAGCAAAATATTTTTGTGTTTTCTCAATTTTGAAAGTTCTGTTTTTTTCTTTGGACTTTCCATGTGAAGCAATTGACTTACATATTTCTTTATATATATATATGCTGTTAAATTTCTTGTCACTCGTGGAGAAATTATATGAAATTCATAGATAATTTGGAAATAATTGTGAACAGACTGTTTCAAGTGCACTATTTCAGTTGTCTGAATGATCCTTACATCTTGTCCTTGAAATCCATGCCATGCAGAAACAAGGTATTACTGTGAAAAACTTTTACTTTTTTGACATTTCAATGGAATGCTCTGAGTTACATTAATTGTAAGTTTCCAAGTAAGAAATGGCTTGTAGTAAATTGCAAAATTTGAATAGAACTGAAATAACCTATTTCTTATTTTTATTTTTCATTCTTATTCTAGACTAAATATATCCATATAACTGTGTGTATGTTATTTTTATTGTCTGGAGTACTCTTAAATGTTCGTATAAAATGTTAAGATTTGACTGAATATAAGTACTGTTAAGATATCTGAATCCTATGCTATTTTAAACCACGAAGCAAAAATGTCACTGAAAACATTGATATTTCTAAGTAGGTTATATTCATTTAAATAATGACAGCCTATAGAAGGAAACAGTAATATAAGAATTTTAATAACTATTTTGTTTAAAAATTGACACAAATTAATGTGTCAACTTGTTTAACAATGATTTGCAAATGAATTACTTAGAAATTGTGATTTTTACAGATTTATTTATTATTTTTGTGGGATAAGACATATTACCATTTTATTAATACTAATATCTAACAATGTACTGTCTATGTTTTACTTTATTTTTAATATTAATACCTACAAAGTCATTTTTTCAAAGGCTATTTAATTCAGAAAAATTCATATGTGTTAGTATTTGAATTAAACATTTATAGAAATAGATGTTATTAATCAAATTATTTATTTTAGTGCCAATAATTAATTATAAATTTATAATCATATCTTCATTTTATTCTTTGTATTTTAAATAATTAATATGTATTTGTGCCTTTGAATTAGCATGATATTCTCCTTTATCAAAAGAACAACTAAAACTGCCATCACAGATATATTTTGCTCACACTTATGACACTGGCATTATACTTAGTTACATTAAATGAATTATCTCAATTAAAACTCATTTGCCTTGAAGATAAAATCTAAATTATGCTCTTTAATTCATTTGCACTTCTGAAAATTCTTTTTATATGTACACAAAATATTTTTAATGTGTTCTGCACTATCCTTTTTGACAATAAATACATTCTGGATATTGTTGGAACTGAGTCACTAGACAGTTGTAAGACAAAGGCAGCAAATGATTTTTTAAAATAGGGAAAATTATGGTGGTGTCAGTTGGGTCTTCATTACTCCTGTTGATATATATTTGATTTGGGATCATAAATCATCCTTGTGATGATAAGATAATCACTGATGAAACTATCTACAAATGAAATGGTAGGAATATTCTTTCGTTTATTAATTTAGGAAATATTGGCATAACATTATAATTATTTATGAAATCAGCAGTGTTCTTTTTCATGGAGAATAACATAAATTTCAATTTGAATTCCTCATGGAGATCTTTTACAAAATTATATCCAGAGTGCTTATTCAACAAAATTTAAGAGCAAATGAAAATATTTTTAAATGATATTATTAGCATTATTTATGCCTAAAGAGAAATATTGACATCTTATTCTTAACCCTGTGGAGCAGTCTTACATATTCTCTCAAATTGAAATTGCATATGGATATATTGACACATAGTAAATTTAAATTGTGGAAAGTCAAATAAATGAAATGCTCTAATACTCAAATTGAAATCTTTCAAGAAATCATTTTATGCATGGTCTTAATGATGTTCCAAGATGAAACAATTATGTGTGTCAATGAGAAAGTGATAAAACAGCCTAGCCATAGTAGTTGCTGAGTAGATGTAATTTTCTTCCAAATTCCACCCTTTCTTTTTTAAAAATTGCATTTACCCATATAGAAGCAGCTATTTGAAGATGTTATACAAGAATGTTAAAGATTAATTATTTCCTTTCTTATAAAAGTCAGAGGCTTTTATATTATATACAATGGTAAATATTTATTTAATAACAATATTCTTAGATAAAGTTCATTATTCACTATAGGATTTCACTAGTAAACTATTAATTGGTATCACATCTTTAAATTTTCTTTTTTGGAAATTTTCACATTTCTGGCCACACAATATTTCTAATTATTATTATAAAAATTGTCCATATGCATTTAAATATTGCAACTCTAATTTTTGTTCTCTCTTTTTTTAATAATAGTTTTTTTTTTAAGAGTAGATAGACACAACACAATGCCTTTATTTTTTTTTTTTTTTAATATGGTGCTGAGGATCGAACCCGGGTTCTGCCCGTGCTAGGAGAGTGCTCTACTGCTGAGCCACAATCCCAGCCCCTAATTTTTGTTTTCTGACATGAAAATACGTTTCCTTTGACATCTGGATTTAGCTTTCCATGGAAGAGAATAAATAAAGCAACAACTATTGGAGCATTTCAGTCACAAGCAGACAGGAGAGTAGAGGGCAAATGAAATGAAAGGATCCAGAAAGGCAAACTGAACTTCTACATTTGGAATAGTAAGAAGGACCTGGCTGTGAGAAAGGCTGGGCCAGGGAGTAGCGACATTGCATATATGAAAGTTAAGGCCAATAATACTGATAGTAAGGAGAAAAATCTACTGAAATCCATAAGGGAAAGTTAACAGAGCTAGAACCTATGATTCAATCTACAAATTTTTTTACAAAACAATGCGTACTATAAAATAAATGGTATTGTTAAGAGCAAACATAGTTGTTCCAGCTCTTAAAGAAATGTTCATGGATTAGCATTTGCTTCTAACCCTTGTTAGAAATAGATGAACTTCTTAGAAACAAATTTTTTGGTATGTGAATTCTATGCTGTGTTCAGTATGCATTAAAACATACTACATTTTATTTTCTTTAACTTATATATTCCATTCAAATTCTATATTCTTATGTTAGCTACCATGAGATTTTCTTATTGTTTCAATATAGTATGTCCCTATGAAATGCTGTATATATATATGTCTAAACTGTAAAAATTATACTGCAAATGTTGAAGTTTTGTATTTATGAGAGACATTGAAAGTATGGCTTATGGTATATCAAAATTGTCACTCTTCACCATTTGTATATTAATAGTAAAGATACTTTTACTTTAATAAAGTGTTGAATTTTATGTTTATTTCAAATAGTACCTTTGTAAAGAGTGAGCTTATGGCTTGACAAATAGTTTTAGGTTTAATTTTTTTTCAAACATATCTCTAGATATCCATAAGAAAAGAATGCTTTTTGCCATCTTACATCACCCTGAGTCACAATCTTTTGACATCTTCTCTGTCCCCAGCTCAGAGAGATTAATAAACCTTTTAAGGTATTATCCCTTAAGATGCTTGTAGACAAGCAGCATATAGCATCATCTAGGAAATTGGTAGATGTCTAAATTTCTGCACCTCACCAGAGACTGGATGAATCAAGACTCAAAGTCTTTCTTGTTACTCTGATGCACATTAAATTCTAAATTCACTGGATGTGAGGCACATATTTTTTCAATTGCCAAATTTGTCAACTTATAAATGCTAGACATCGCTAAGTATAGGAGATGATGCTTTTCTACAATATTGTGTGCCCCCAAACACCATATTCTGCAAAACCATGCACTTAAAAAACAGTATTGGAGAAATAATAAAATTAGAATGTGCTACTCAAAACTAATTCAATTTTTAAGCCAGAACACTAATAAAAATATGAGCCCCCCCCAAAAAATATGAAGGCTTAAAAAGAAATATTAAAACAGTTAAAAAGACATATTATGCAAATTTTGAATAGTAACCTACTAATAACTTCTACTTCATGATTGAATTTAATTTCCCATTATTATACATTTTACCACCTTATAGATATGAGTTTTAAAAGTAGAGAAGCTAATCATTCTTCACATCACTGAATAAAGTGTTTTCATTTTTTAAAAAGCCAGTGTAAAATGTGATTCATTCTTTACAATTAATAATAATATGTGTCATTTTTTAACAAAGGGATGATTTCTAATATAATCTTTACAAATTACACAAAGCATCTACACATACTGAATAAAAATAACATTAAAAGTGCTTTGAAGAATGAACAAGAGGACATTTACATGTTCTTCCAGTATTCAATATTTATTCAAAGGTTAATTATAATGAAATGAAAAACGGTACCATGAGAAAGAAGCTAAAACTAAGTCTCTAAATTTTTTTTTGGAAATAAACCATGTTGATATTTTAGTAAATTCTATTTTTTCCAAAACATTACATAATATATTTTTTACGTGTAATATAAGCAACACACATATGTGTGCTAAGATTGATGTCATTCATGTATGTACTCAGCATTCTAAATACCTATTTTTCTTAATAAATTTTAAATATACAAGGAAGAATATTGTCCAAATACAAATAATAGAAATATTATCCAAATACAAATATTTTCTATTTTACGTGATTTTTTATACACTTATTTTGTGGCATAACTCTGCTTGCAAAAAAAAAAAAAAGAACATTTTTGCATTTTAGCTTTTCAGAATTTAACTCTTTTGAATAATTTAAATCATCTTTCTGAAACAGTTTTTTCTTTATTTATATCTTTGACAGGGCAGAGGACACTATACTAGAATAACAACAAATTCAACAAAATTTGACATGTGCTAACTTTTTATTAATATAGCATGCTATAAACACAGATATTACTCATGTTCAGATGTCCCAATAGTTGAAAAAGATTAACTTGATTATTTAATTCATTCTGATACCTTCTCTTTCACCTCTAGTTTCCACTTCCTAATTCCCTCATTGTCCTGTTTTCCTATGTGAAACTGAGTTGAAAAGATTGTTATTATAGAAGAGAGAATAATTTAAAAAATGAGTCCAAAATATTTGTATACTATCACATCTAGATATCATGCAATTACTGAATATCTTGAGAGAGTAATTTTAAAATGGAGTGTTTTAAAAGAAAATTGCAATTTTCTTTGCAATTGGAGGCATTGTCTGTGGAGAAGGCAAAAGGCATCTTATTTGTAAGCAAAGGAATCAAAGTGAACCTGTCGGAAAAACACATAGGTTTACTCAAATGGAGTTGTGGAAGTTAGACTGTGTGAAGACATTCTACAGGTTTTAAGGGAAAACGGCCTCTGAAAAGTATTCATGAAATTCCTGTCAACTAGAAACCCAAGATATTTACACGTTTATTCACCAGAAAAAAACAAATAAGGGAATTTTTTTCACACTTTTTTAAAGAGGATGAAAAGGGGATAGAACTGAGATTCTTGAAGTAATATTGGAAAACACATAACCCAGGTATGCAATTAGCATAAACCTAAGTTCACACACTAATTCTATAACCTGCATAATAGAGTGTATTTGAGCATAAAAATTTACACTTGATTCTTCATCTATGAAACTAACATAAGGCAACTACATATTTTTCTTACGATTTTGAGAATTCGCTTGTCTCAACTTTATGCCTTGTTCTTCCCTCCTGGTATGTTGGGGGCTGTCAACATATTGATGTATTAATAAAAGTTCTCCAGAGGAAAAAAGTGCATACACACACACACACACACACACATCACACACAGGTACATAAATATAAATGTATTCAGTACATGTACTAATACATATATTATATATAGTTATATGTATGTATTCAGTCTTTATACATCCTTTCTTTGAGATTATGGAGTCTTCAAATCTCATGAATTTTGGGGTTCAGAAAATGCAGTGGTGCAATTCAATCAGTCAATGAACATGATAACATCAACAAATTCCACAAACATTGGTACACTGCTATACTTTTTGCTGTGAAAAAATTCCTAGGTCAGAAGCTATGCTGCATGAAATCCCTTCATGGAGGATAAGGTATTCTATAATTCCATGAGACAGTAGTTTTGATAGAAGCATTATGAGTAGGGAAAGAAAATCTAGGTATGGAGTAAGAATCTGTTCCAGTAAGAATACTCTGTTTGCATGATGGAAACTGTCCAACATAATCAATCTCCTTGCCAGGAAACTGCTGATGCTTCCAGGCAATGTGTCATATCAGGAACTCAGTGTTGTTCTTGGCTATTGACAAGTTGGTCACTCAATTGTGGCCATAGTAAAGTTGGCTTTGGTAAGTGGAAGTCCATGATGTTAACCATATTTACTACCTTCTTCTGTTTCACCCCAGATTCATTGTTCATGAGACCATAAATTCATGACAGGGGTAGTTAAGATCAGAAGCTCCCTTGTATCCACAGAAAGAGTTGTCCTGACCACTAGCTAAAATCCTCTTTTATTAAGATTACTTTTTATTGAACATTCACATTAAACACAAATAACTTTACATTTTTGCCAGCTCAGAGAAGTGTATTTACATATCTTTATCACAAATTACTTTGTCATCAATACTGCAGTCAAGTTTCTTCCAAGTCCATGATAACCAACTTTGGCCATGCCCAAGAATCAATATACAGTAGCATGTTAGGACAGTTCTCCTTTCCAGCAGAGTGAGTAATTAGGTGCACTGCTGGAAGTTCTGTCCCACTGGGAGAATTTCCTTCATTAACATTCGTGGATGTCCAAGAGGGGCACTATAGTGCTGTGGCTGTACCTGTGAACCATGCAAAACCATCTATGACCCAGGTTTAAATCTTTTTGCCTGGTCAAATTTAGGGAATTTCCCATGAGGTCATTTGAGCAGTTTGGAAAAGAGGAAGCAGTGGATCAAGAGCAGAGACATGGACATTTGGGATAATTCTTTAGTTAATTTGCTTGTGGCTTTAGGGCATACTTAAGCCTGATCATGTATGTACCATTCCCATTCGATGATGTTGCTGTGCATACCCAACTAATGATCAGTTGACTTTCCGCTTATGATTGGCAACTTAATTTTCATGGTAATTTGGTGGACCATGGTTGAATATTCTGGTGCTACAGATACAGAAAGATATTTCTGAAAAGGAAAATAGTAATGCTTAAATGACAGCAGGACGTTATTCTAAAACACTGAAACCTCATGCTGGGATTCACCTGCAAAATCCCTACTGCCATTAGCACTTTAAACACCATTATATCTTTTGGATTAAATGACCCAAGCAGCAGAACAGTTTGTATAGCAGCCTAGTCTTTCTGTATCATCTTCTTTTGTTCTGAGCCCTACTCAAAATTACAACTTTTGGGATAACTTGGTAAATATTCTAGAGTAATCATGATGAATAACTTGCCTCCAAATTTCAAGAAAACCTACAAGGTATTGTGCCTTTTCTTTGGTTATATGAAGGGCCAGAGTAATTTATCTTTCAACTTAGAAGGTATATCTTGATATGTCTCATACCCTGGATGCCTACACATTTAACTTAGGTAGACAATCCTTGAATTTTATTTGTCTCTTACATTCTAACATGCAAATGTCTTACCCATAAGTCTATAGTAGTTGCCATTTCTTGTTCATTGGTCAATCAGTATAAGGTTATAAAAATATGGGCCAGAGTGATATCCTGTGGAAAGAAATATTAATCAATATCCCTATAAACTAAATTATAACATAGGGCTGGAGCTTTGATATACTATTGAGGTAGGACAATGATCGTGTATTGCTGGCTTTACCAATTAAAACCAAATTGCTTCTGGGGGACTCTAAAGACAGTTATGGAATAAAAGGCATTTTTCAGATTGATAGGTACAAACCAGACACCAGGGGTAGTTAATTTGCTCTAGCAATGGAACAACATCTGGTATAGCAGCAGCTATACCAAGTGTCTACCTGGTTATGCATATGGTAATCCAGTCTCATTTTCCAAGGCCCATTTTTCATCTGCAGATTTCAAGGTGGTGAGCTGAATGGTGCTACCCCAAATCCTTTACAACCTTGATGGTGGCACTAATCTCTGGGATTCTTCCAATCCTTTTGATTTACTATTTTCCAAAGAAGATGCAGAATTAATAACTTTTACTTGGTCTTTATACCATAAGTGTTCTCATTTTAACAGTAGACATCCTGTAACATTGTGAGTTCAACTTGCTTTGTAAATCAACCAATCATAGGTTCAGGTTTTGAGTGAGATTTTTTGACAATTTCATCCCTGTATCTGTAGTAGATAGGTTTTATTAAAGGTAAACCAAAAAGCCATTTGAAAACATGTATGA